CCACCTTCCTTCTCATCCGTTACTTTTCCTCCCGCACCTCCTGCCCCTCCCTTACTTACTCTGCTGCAGCCGCCACAGCACCTCAGCTACTCATTCAACTCCTGGCATTTGCACGGGCTGTTCCCTCAGAGAGCCACATGGCTCCCTCACCTTCCTCAGGTCTTTGTTTACACGTCACTTTCTGGGAAAGGCCCTGCTAGGCCATCGTATCTAAAAGTGGATGCCCCGCACCCTTGCTCTGGCGCTCTCTGCTTTGCTTTTCTCACAGCACCTATCACCATTTGACACACTATGTATTTTTCTTTCTTTTTGTGTCTGGCCGGTACTTGGATCGAACCCTGGAACTTAATGTTACCAGCACCATGCTCTAACCAATGAGGCTACCCAGCCAGCCCTGTTTTGCTTAATTATCCCATTTGGCGTCTCTCTTTCCATGCTAGAATATGAACTCCATGAGGGAGCGTCCTCTTGTTCACAGCTATATCCGCAGTGAATAGACATTTCTGGCTTGTAGGAGGACTTAATAATTATTGTTGGAATGAACAGATGAAAATACAGATGGCCCCCGACTTAACGATAGTTAGACTTAACCATGTTCAACTTTACGATGGTGTGAAGGTGATCCACATTTGGTAGAAACTGTACTTCAAGCACCCATATGGCTATTATGTTTTTTACTTGCAGTCCAGTATTCAATAAATTACATGAGATGTTCAACATTTTGTTATAAAACAGGCTTTGTGTTAGGTGATTTTGCCTAACTATAGGTTAACTTAAGTGTTCTGAGCACGTTTAAGGTAAGCTGTGATGTTCCATAGGTTAGGTGTATTAAATGTATTTTTGGTTTAATGATATTTTCAACTTATGGTGGGCTTATTGGGATGTAACCTCATCGTAAGACGAGGAGTATCTGTAGTTAAGGGGTAAAGGAGTGAACTGCGGATTTAACAGGGAATGGTGTAGGGGCAGGAATAGGGCAAAGACAGCTGTGGGCTGAGGGGTTTGCAGGCAGGAAGCCCACTCCCAGGGCTGCTGTCCTGCACCCTCTCAGGAGAGTCCCGCAGCCTCCCTCCCTCTGCTGAGGGTCTCTGAGGCCATCCTGAGCCCCCTTCCCTGTCTCCCCCTTCCCCACAGCTGGCTGAGGCCCTGGACCTGTTTGAGAGACAGATGCTGAAGGAGGAGCGACTCCAGCCCATGGAGAGCAACTACACAGTGCTGATTGGGGGCTGCGGGCGGGCTGGCTACCTGAAAAAGGCCTTCAGGCTCTACAACGATGTGAGTAAGGGCTGCTGGGCCACAGGGGCGCAGCTCTGAGACCATGGGTTTGGACCACAAAGAGCTGGGTGCAGATTCTGAATAATGCCTTGTGCTAGTGCATTACCCTGGGCAGATGATTTCACCACGCTGGCCTCAGATTCATCCTCTGTAAACGTGGGATGATCTTGGGTGATTAAATGAGATGACGTGGAAAGCACCTGCCTGGACCACAATGGGCCCCACATGCTTCTTCCTTTTCCGCTGCTGTGCCTGGTTTGTCATCCCCACACATGTGCATACACACCCCTTTCTTCCAAAGTTGGTCCTTTGACAAAGGGCTTTCATTCCTCGTGGAAGATGGTCTTGCTTTACATTTTCCCACCTCTTGGGTATGTCATATTTGTAACGCTCAGAGCTAGGATGCTGTTCCTTCGTGAGTCAGGAAAGAGCCTTACCTGGGAGGATGGTAGACTCTAGCAGGAGAGATCCCATCTCCTCCTGCAGCCAGAAGCTGGGGTAGTCTTCACTCCCACAAGGGCTTCTGAGAACCCCAGTCCTCTTGTCATTTGGGACACTCCACTGCAGGCCTGGTGACCGCTAGCTGGAAGCAAGGGGGAGAAATGGTAGCTACAAATGATAAAGTAACCTCATATCCTTTAAATGACCTAATACAATGTCATGGCATAGAAAGACAAGCAGCTGCCCTGACCATCCAGCTAGCAGAAGAGAGTCCTGGTGCTAAGCCAGGGGCAGGTGGAGAGAGCGGGTATTGTTTACTGTGGCTCCTGGTTAACAGCCCAGTAACAGCCCTTCCTTGCATTTGGAAGATCCTTAAGTGACTACCCTGCACATAACCTCTTCGGAGAAGCCCAAGCCATTCTCTTTTACCTTTCTCATTCTCTATCACTATCACTTTGTTGCCTTTTTTTTTTTTTTTGGTTGGGGTACTTTTTTTTTTTTTTTTTTTTTTTTTTTTTTTTTTT